GGGATTTATGGAAAGACTTAAGAGCAAGTTAAAGGATATATTACTGACATTATTATTGCTAACATTTTACTTATATTGTTCTTATATTATTTCATAAATTATATAAAATTTATTTGGTCTTCCCGTCGCATGTCGACGAAAAGACCGAATAAATCAGAACTTAACGAGGCGATTAAACAGAACAATAGATTATTATTATTACGAGTTGAATGCATTGTAAATTTGATAGGTGCTAAGCGTATCTAATTGCATCTAAATGTCACAACTTTTTAAATTTATATGTGCAAAATATATATTTTTATTATAATCGAACATTATGCTCAACTGAACTTTTTCAGTAACATTATCAATGTTATTAACATAAGAATAATGCTTATGTTAAATCGGTATTTATATATTATATATCATCGTCAATAATATGCTATCATATCATCAGTTACCTGCAAGCTGTACAACTTTGAATATTATTACAAAACTGCAACGTACGGCGCACGTATTTAGATAAAATAATGTAGATAAAATGTGTAAGAAATGGAAGTCAAATTATCCCAAGATGTTTTTTCAAATGTAAAACATTCTTCAAATACACATCTCTGTAAACATTTTACGTCTCTGAAGAAATAATATTATGGCATCATATAACGTAACATATTTTAGTGCAAATTCTTGTTGATAAACATTATTTAGTAAAATGTTAATAATTTAATCTAAATTGTATGCTAAACCTGAATAAACAATCAACTTATCTCTATTTCTATTAATGTAAATGTGTTTTAATCTCGATTTAACTTATTTTTTATCTTCTTTCAATTTTAAGAATTAGATAAACATAAAGGATAAATTAAACTCAGATTAAAGTTAATCTACATTGATAAAAATGATCATTAGTGAAAGTCTTCCGACATAAAAATTGATATACATACATATATATGTATATGTCAATGTTTATTATAGAATAATTGTTGATCCGGAAAGAATTACGATAATATTAATCACATTTTTCGTTTTCTTTTCAAATCACGTTAAATTACGAATTAAATATAATTCTACATAAATATTGATTATATAATAACGAATACACAAAACAAAGATAAAATAATTTAGAGTTTTTCTGGAAAAAAATATTAAAAAAATTAATACTACATATGTCAAGAAATAAATAGAAAAACTTAACTTTTTTGTAAAATACATCCAATTGATTTATATCATTATTATTATTTTATATTATTCTTATAATACTTTAATAGTCGTTGTTTTATATGCATGTTATATTAGTACGTAATTTTCGTAGAATCATCAATATATATATATACGTCTAAAGATTCCCTAAACTTTCACTTTGCTTTTTTGCTTCGTATAGTAAGGGTCCAATTTTTTTCATAAGTTTTGCAGTTGCCAGATGAATCTTATGAAGTGAAAGTAGGTTATGTATTCAATTTTGACCTGAGTTTTTACACATTCATTCTTTTGAAAGCGGAAATTTAAGAATCGCATCAAAGATCCTGCCAATTCTAGTTTATGTCTAATTTTTCAGCTAAAAGAGTTTTATTTGTAATAAAAA